CTTCCTTCCCTGCTTCCTTCCTTCCTTCCTTCCTTTGTTTCTTCCTTTATTTGTTCCTTTGTTTCTTTTGTTTCTTTCTTTATGAGTGTTAAGTAGACGAGGTGAGATTAAACTGTAACTGGAAGGATATTTGCATTCGCAGACGGGTGGGCTCAGCCTTATAATCGGGGGTGAGGGCTTGTAACCAGCGGGCTTATAACTATGGTGGCTTACTGTACATGTATAACCTGGGAAAAGTATCTTATAACTGGAAGGATACTGTACTTGGATTAGCAGAATAATGAGCTTTTAAAAATTAACTAATATATATCTTCTTTTCAGCATCCTCACATATATCCAACTGGGTTTGCTACATTCACAGAACATGGTGTTATTGTTGTTAGGAACTTTCTTCCTGATGGAACACTTAGAGACTATCTGTGTAAGGTAAGGCATAGAAACAAAAAAGAATATAGGCAGACATTGTTTCAGAGAGAGGACTCAAAAGAAAATCAGTAGTAAGCTATGACTTGGTGATATGAAATTTTGCTTGCTATTTTGTAATAAATAATAATGCTGCTTGCCATTTTGCTTGTTATTATGTGATAATGCAGTAGTTATTTTTTATTTGCCACTTAAAATATTATTGCCTGACATCAGTAACATTTGTGGATGATAACTAGTAGAGAACTAGTGTAGACTGCGTCTGTGTTTCTGATTAAAACAGTAGGATCTTATGGATAAATTGAATCACCGTAAGAAGATTTGTTAAACTGACGTTTCGGACGTTAGTCCTTCGTTGGAGTAAGAACTATACTTGGCTTATTTGGCCTGCTTATTTTGAGGGTCTCTGCATCTTGGGAGCCAGCACAGGTGTAGTACTGTAGGTTCTGATACTGATTGCTTTATTTTTAAACATTTTTGACAGGCAAAGCCCAAACTAAATCAGCTCAAGAAATATGGCAACCCAAAAGCAAGGAATACTCTTGCTATACCACAAGTTCAAATATATGGAAAACAAATTCTAGAAGTAAGTTGTTTTTGTTGTCTGAACCAGTGTGGTTTTGTGTTTTTACACATTTTACATGAAGCTGTTTGTGCTGATTACTGTGGTTTTCGATATTCTGCAAACTCCGTCATTTCCGACATTGTTGTGAAATAGGTTTTTTACTGCTGCCAGTCGAGAATGTAAAACTTACTGACGGATTATTTTTGATTGACAGTTGAGAGTAGTGAAAAAACAATTTCAGCATGTAGCTTGTAAGGGTGCTTGCATCTATTAACACAGGGGGGGGGGGGGGGGGGGGTCGGCAAAATCACAAAGCTTTACAATGATTCAGTGAGCATCTTACTTGTACATGTTACCAGTTTCTCTGCATCCTTGAAAAAGCCAATGCTGTATAAGTAATTAATTTGTTTTCAACAGACATTAAAGTTTTTACATGACAAAGGATATCCTTATGGTAGGTGATGTTCTTAAGTGTAGCAAATCTATATGGTTTATTTTAACACATCAAAAAGAGGACATCTTGCTATAGAGTCCTACTATCCTGACAGTAGATGGCTTCCACTATCAGGTGAAATGATGCACATTTTCAAAATGGTTTTTATTGAGCGCTGTGGTCCTTGGTTTTGGTGATTTTCATGTCTTAGAGAGAGTGGCAGTGGGGAGAATGACAGCATGTACATGGAAACAGTTTTGAAAATGTTGTTATAATCATCTGAGCATCGCCCTCCTGGTCTTGCTGTCCTCATGCTTAGGCCAAACAAAAAAATAAGTTTGTTTCCTTTTGCACAACCTACCCTAATTTTCTTGCTGATTTTTGTCAACACTAATATTTTTTTCATTCCCAAATACACCACGGGGTTCCCAGTAAGCTCATTTCCACTGTTGTATCAGTAAAAAGAATCCAAACTGCCGACCCCAATTATTTTTCTCATGCTACAAGAAACACACTTTTTTTTTTGTTTGGCCTTAAGGTTTATTTTATCTCCCTGCAGCCCACTAAAAATGTCCATATATATAGTTCATATATTATAATGAGGGATGATTTTGGCTGTCTTACTATAACAGGTCATCTTCATACTGGTAATATTGTCCTGGAAGGAAATATCTGCAAGTGAGTTAATAATCAAGGTTGATTTACCCTTCTGATGTTCAGCCTTGTGTTGGATAGGATTGTGCACAATCCTAAAGGACTTGAAATAGCAGCCTGCCAATGGCCAAATGACAGGCCAAATTTCAGGTTTGGCAGGAGAAAATAACGATGTGCTGCCAAATGAATAATAAAATGGCATGCAAAATTTACTGGAATGACCTCCATTTACCATGCTCCTTTACTATGGCAGGCTGAAAAAAATTCCTATTTCGAGCCCTGTCCTACCCAACCACAGTCATTATGCACTCGCCTCTAACCTCCAGGTTCTTGAGTCTGATTCCTGGACTTGGCATGACATGTGTAGAGTTTATAAAATCTCTCCTTTAATTTGAGGTTTTCATTCAGGTTCTCCATTTTTTTCCTCATCCCCAAAACCTAACAAGCTAAATTTCGATCCAATCTGTGAGTTAACCATGCCTACATGTAGCTGACATAGATCAGCTCAGAGGTTGTTTCAGGGTTTGGTCTATGAGTTAGCCATGCCCTTACTTGGATCAGCTCAGAGGTTGTTTCAGGGTTCGATCTGTGAGTTAGCCATGCCCCGACTTGGATCAGCCCAGAGGTTGTTTCAGGGTTCGATCTGTGAGTTAGCCATGCCCTGACTTAGATCAGCCCAGAGGTTGTTTCAGGGTTAGATCTGTGAGTTAGCCGTGCCCTGACTTAGATCAGCCCAGAGGTTGCTTCAGGGTTTGATCTGTGAGTTAGCCAAGCCCTGACTTAGATCAGCCCAGAGGTTGCTTCAGGGTTCAATCTGTGAGTTAGCCAAGCCCTGACTTAGATCAGCCCA